TATCTTCCCTGCCGCCTTTCCTCAGTCTCCCATCCCCTCTCCCCGCAGCAAGCTATATTATGAAGTTTGCCTCAGACGGCACCGCACGCCTAACACGGTGCGCGCATGCGCAATATCTCCCGAGAGAAATCGTATTTTGCAAAGATTGTGCATTTAAAATGAAGAGGAGTTATCCTAGCATAGATTTATATGATAACATTCCATCTATAGACATCATTTAAGAAATAGCAGGAAGACCTTGCGTGTAAGGTCCCCGCTGCTTATACAAGCCAGTACACAATCTGGCTACGTTAGTGTGTTAGCGCATGCGCAATATCTCACCAGAGGAATTATATTTTGTGATGAATATATATTTAAAATAGTTAGGGGGTATCTCAGCATAGATTTCCCTAATGAACTTTTATCAGTAGACCTGTGTTTATAATAAGGAGAGCGCCCTAGCATGTAGAGTACAAAACAACTACTTTATGCCCTCGCATCCTTCCCCTTGCCTCCCCTGTCCTTCGCTCAGCCTTCTTCTTCTTCTACCGCCCCAGCTATCTCCCCTGCAACCTTTCCTCAGTCTCCCATCCCCTCTCTCCCTCAGCAAGCTATATTATGAAGTTTGCCTCAGACGGCACTGCACGTCTAACACGGTGCGCGCTCATGCGCAATATCTTCTGAGAGAAATCGTATTTTGCAAAGATTATGCATTTAAAATGAAGAGGAGTTAACCTAACATAGATTTATATGATAACATTCCATCAGTTGACATCATTTAAGAAATAGGAGGAAGACTTTGCGTGTGAGGTCCCCGCTGCTTATACCAGCCAGTACACAATCTGGCTACGTTAGTGTGTTAGGTCATGTGTAATATCTCACCAGAGGAGTTATATTTTGTAATAAATATATATTTAAAATGGTTAGGGGATATCTCAGCATAGATTGCCCGAATAAACCTTTATCAGTAGACATATGTTTATAATAAGGAGAGCGCCATAGCATGTAGGGGTACAAAACACCTACTTTATGCCCTCGCGTCCTTCCCCCTTGCCCCCCTGGTCCCTCGCTCAGCCTCCTTCTTCTTTTACCGGCCCAGCTATTTTCCCTGCAGCCTTTCCTCAGTCTCCCATTCCCTCTCTCCCTCAGCAAGCTATATTATGAAGTTTGTCTCAGACGGCACTGCACGCCTAACACGGTGAACGCGCATGCGCAATATCTACCGTGAGTAATCGTATTTTGCAAAGATTATGCATTTATAATGAAGAGGAGTTATTTTAGCATAGATTTATATAATAACATACCATCAGTAGACATCATTTAAGAAATAGGAGGAAGATCTTGCATATAAGGTCCTCGCTGCGTATACCAGCCAGTACATAATCTGGCTACGTTAGTGTGTTAGCGCATGCGCAATATCTCACCAGAGGAGTT